TTTTTAAATGTATACATACAAATGGATGGAGCCCCCAAAAATATCACCTTGTATGTAATTTTCCTACATATCGAAGAAATGTGTTGTATCGTTTGGCTCCTAATTAAATTTTGCCCAAGTTGTTATACCACAATGCTTTTTTCAAGTTTTAATTTCGTGTAAATAAAGAATTTCAAACACGTCACATTAAAAAAAATTGCAAGAGAGTGAGACAACTATTGGTTATTTTCTTTAATTGGTTTAAAAGACGTTCTGTGTCAAAATAACGCCTGCCCTAAGGGTTATAGGTTTGAGGCTCATAAAATTATTCTTTAGTACCCCTTTAAATCGAAATTAAGTTAAGGGTAGGGTAAATAATATAAAAGGCGGTATAAAAGTTTTATTCCTTCAAGCTTTCAAGAATCGAATAAAATGATAATGGTTGATATGATGGTCTTATGGCCTATTAGAAAATAACAAGGAAACCAGACTAAGACGCTTCTGTAGTCGGAGTGAAAATAGGATGAAACAAAGCCATGAAAATGTTAATGTTTTAAATTACAAAAAAAAAAACAGTTTAGGTGAGATCAGTGGTTTACAGTTATTGAATATAGAATTTAATCATTTTTAATTTTCTTTTACTTTTTCTTAGGTATATACATTAGGGTGGCCCAAAAAAAAACGAATATTTTTTTTCGTTTCTCTTGTGAAAATATGTTAGTTTATCATGTTTTAAGAGGCCCCTCAAAAAATCAGCTGAAAAAAAAATTTTTAAATATCGCTCAAAATTTTTAAAAATTTCGAAAATCGTCAAAAATTATATTTTTTCCTCGTTATTTTATTATTTTCTAGGTTGAAAAAAATCTCGATTCTGAAAATTTCAAATCGATATTTTAATTTCTTTCAGCTCAAAAATAATTTTTTAGAGGTCGCTCAAGATTTTAAAAAATTTCCAAAATCGTCAATTTATTTTAATTTTTTTTCTAGTTATTTTATCATTTTCCAGGTTGAAAAAAATCTCGAAAATTTCAAATCGATATTTTAATTTCTTTCATCTAAAAAATAATTTTTTTAGAAGTCGCTCAAGATTTTAAAAAATTTCCGAAATCGTCAATTTATTTAAATTTTTTTTCTCGTTATTTTATCATTTTCCAGGTTGAAAAAAATCTCGAAAATTTCATATCGATATTTTAATTTCTAAAGGTCACTCATAATTATTTTAACTTTATTTAAAAGTAGTGTAAGTACCTAAAATGTTTTCGAGCGACCTCAAAAAATAAATAATAAATAATATCAACGAACTAACATTTTTTAAGTGTCGTGATTTATTTCTATTCTTTTGTTCATCAAATTCAATAAAAAAAATTATTAGTTCGTTGATATTTATTTTTAGAGGTCGCCGGAAAACATTTTAGGTACTTACACTACTTTTAAAGTTAAAATAATTATGAGTGACCTTTAGAAATTAAAATATCGATTTGAAATTTTCAGAATCGAGATTTTTTTCAATCTAGAAAATGATAAAATAACGAGAAAAAAAAATTAAATTGACGATTTTGGAAATTTTTAAAAATTTTGAGCGATTTTTAAGCTAATTTTTTGAGTGGGCTCTTAAAAGATGATAAACTAACATATTTTCACAAGAGACGCGAAAAAAAATATTCGTTTTTTTTGCGCCACCCTAATATACATATACACATTGTTATGAATGTGAGATATAACAATTAACAATATGTCTTAATTGCCATTACTACTCAATATCTTCTGACACAAAGCATTGCTTTGTACCTGCTGGCAGAAAGCGACCTACTAATCTGTACGTACTGTGAACTATCCAAATAACTAGATCATTCGTCGATAATCTCTTCTACCGCTTAGTTTGTATCTGGTAATCCTACTGTCGAATGCTTGACGGAGCTTTAGTCACCAGAGTAGTTGTCTCTATGTAATATATAAAATATTGTATCTTGTAGAGTTACGCCTTATAGTGAATAATAACATTCCCCTCTTTCTAATCGCAAGAAAGTGACCCCAGAGAGAATCCGAAAACTTATGTGAGACGAATCATTATTCAATGTGCCGCACACTTTAAAATATAATTACTTCTTTGTTTTAAAACAAAGTCATTGTTTTTTAAGAGCCCATACATATATATTTTACATTTTACTTTATGGAAAACATTAAAAACCACCTTTTCTCCGAGCTTCGTTTTTAATGAGCTCATTGCGTTGTTCGAGTGTATATTTTAATACCCCTTGGATTATACTGTAATTGTTTCCCATCTCTAACGTCCGTTAGAGATGGGAAACTCAAGTGGAGTAAATCAACGTCATACGATTCGAATCGGCTTAAAAGCAAAGGATAAAATAAACGCTGAATAATTGTGTGTCTATGCATCAATGATGAGAACCGTCGACATTTTTTCGATTTTATTAGATAAGAATTTGTATTTATTTGAACATTACGAAACACATTTTTTCTTTTTTTCTTCATTAGAATATGCTTTGTGACTTTCGCAGAATAAATTAAACCCATTCGAGGTGACAAAACTTTTAAATCTTTTTAAAACTGGCTCTTCACCTTTGTTTCGAATGCGATGACATCTCAACTTCGCGTATGGCAACTAAAATACAAATTACCTTATAATACAATTCTGTTAATTAAACCGAACCGAGAATTGCGCTCATGAAATTTCAATGCGATGCGTGCGGTACGCCAGGGGACCGAAAACACATCCAATTGCATTAAAATTGAAGCAGGATATCATGCAGCTAACTGATTAATTAAAGCGTCATCTCGTGTAGCGTGGGTAATTAAGCAGCCTGCGAACAAGCCAATATCTCAACCAAACTGGCAGCGGCGTGTTCGAATGCTCGTTTGCAACGCGATGTATCGCGACAATGAAATTTGCACGCGCGGCGTCTGCTTAGCGCAACTCAAGACGACATTGAAACAAATAAAAATAAAGTTAATTCAAATAGACATACAAAAATAATACAACACTAAAACAAAAAAGAAAAAAAGTTGAAGTCATCATATTTTGACAATGAGACTCATACCGTTTTTAGAGGATGATTTATGTGCTCGCATAGAAAAGTTAAAAAAATACCAACTAGGTACCTATTTCTAGTTGTATATTCCTAGAAAATTAAATACTTTCTTAATGACAGATACCGGCAACCACCTAAAAGAACTTGTATTGATTCTATCGGAATTTCCAATGAATACATATTTTCGTTCTCTTTCCTTGATTCGATATTGCACCCTTTTAGATATGTTTATACTCCAGGAAATATAGAGTTGGGCGCGACTTTTTGTTTCGGCAAGCTGAATTTATCACTATAGATGCTAAATATTATGTACAATAACATATTAGCTTCCACAGTCATAAAAATGGGGGGAAGATTATTTACAGGGTGGTTAATTGTATCATTTTTACGTAAATTCACGTTTTTCGCTTACAACTTTTTTCCGTTATTTTCCTGGTCTATTTACATTCGACTGGATCGTCAACACAGAAGCACTATAAATGTTGTAAAAAAAACAAACATGTATAAAGTGAGACATTTACTTTTCGTTCAAATTTCATTTTTCTCTATACAAAACGATGGTTAGGTAAATACAATATTGTGTGGCGTTACGTAAAAAAATAATTTGATTTTCTTATTGCAGTTACCCAAAATAGCATTTGAACTATTCCAAGGCGTTAATACTATCCCATTTGTCGCAAACCTGGACCAGTCAAAAATAAACGTGTTTCATGGAAAAATAATTATAAATATAAATTTGTTTTTAACTGAACCAGTTAAATATACCGAAAAAATAGTTATTTCGGTACCCAGCGCACTCGGCATATTTTACGTCAACTTCATTCACGTTTGGTTTGCGCCTTTTTTTACTGGATTTATTCTGGCAGCGAAAATTATATTTTTAGGTTTGGAAATGTGGGACTTCCTGTTTGTCGCGTAATCATACTTCGCCGACATATTATCGGAAGATTTACACCACCGCTTTGTCCCAAATGTTAAAACGTATTAATACCCGCCGAAAAAATGTAAAGTGCTTTACTCGCCATTCCTGCGACAGCGAAATATATTATCGTTTTTTCTTAGTCCAGTCCAAAGTTCTTCCACTGCCAAAAACTAAACTGGTTGATTATATCAATTTGAGTGAGATAATAAAGAACAACTTTCGGATTTTGAAAGTTTTCTAGTAGAAGGGAAGAAACTCTGTTCTATATCGTTTTGTTTTCCGATATCTGTATTGTTCCCAGACTTAATGTAGAAATGGTGTGTCAATAAAACAGTACGTGAGGCCATCGTTGTTTCGAAATTACCACAGCTCTATATCAGTTGTCGTAGAGTGTTAAATCGTTAACTACTTTATGCTGGAAGTTATGATTTCATTATATTTATAGCATGGTAGTTTTGGTTAATAGGTTGTAAACGAACGCGCCAAACCGCTTTAACTAATTGAGAAACATCATTTTCAGGACATAAAAATGAGGACGAAATTGAAGAAATGGTTTTTGATTTAATAAAAGACATCTGACATCGGGACTAGATGTACTACAGCACTCCTGAATATGACTAATGTAATGACATAACTAAGCCGCAGATAGAGATTTGATAACAGTTTTGGTACTTCTCTACTTTAGCAAGGCCTTTGACGCTGTTAATAATTCAGTGTTACTAGCATTGTTGAAGTCAGTGCTTTAGATGACAAAAACTTAGGTGGTTAAATTTCGCAATACTGATAAGAGTCCCAAAGAATATTTTTATGTGGAGAAATCCCTCAAGGTTCCATTCTGGGACCTTTATTAATTAAGCTGTATACAATGTTATTTTCATGCCTTTTTAATATTCTAAAATTAATGAGTTAGCCAAATGTAGTGTCCTAAAGGAACATAGTCTGATGAGTCATTTTTTAAGGCAAGAACTGCATGAAAATAAAACAAATTTACATAATAATATACAAACACCAAGATATACTTAATATCTAATGATACTTTCTTGTTCCAGGCTGGAGTATTGGAGATGACCTGGGTGATGAGCGACTTCACAGCCACCAACCCCTCCGAGTTGAGCGTCACAAAGGGCCAGCAGGTGGAGGTGGTGGAAGTGTGTTCTTCGAAGCCAGACTACTGCCTAGTGAGAATGCCCACCAGGGGTACCGACCACGACGCCGCTGCCGTGCCCGAGGGTTTGGTGCCCCTGTCGGTGCTGAAGCAGCCGCCCGCTCCGAGGGGTTCGCCCTCGAGGAGGCCGCCCCCACCGGACCACGATATCGGTGAGTAGTTCATAAATCAAATTTTTAACGTATAAAACGTTTCTTGTGATATATCTGAAAAGCAAAGATATACCGCTCACTTCTTCAGAAAAAGCTTTGAAACTCAAGGAAGTTTGAACCGATGACGTGGCAACAAACTCGGGAATAGTTCAATCAAAATCAATTCCTGTTTTAGGTACTTAAATTTTCTATTTTTTGGCAACTGCACAAAGAAATAAAAAACTCTAATCTAAACTTGACGATGTGACGTGTAGAGATTTAACAATTTGGAAAAAAAAATTGAAAATTCCCTGGGTATTACTTCACACTTTCTTTATCGAAGTTTTGAAATAGTTTCCTTTATAAAAGTTTTGATTCACAGTTTTATCATAATTTCGATAAAGCATTCCTCTCTAAAAATAACCCAAAGCCAAGTAAAAGTTCCGCTGTGTTTCTTCCGCGCTATTTACCCTCCTATGACCGAACCGAAGGACATATCAAGACTTCCCGGCGTTCCTCACTTTCCCCGACCAATTAGCCGCCTTATTTAACTTCGACTACTACATCCACCCCGAGCGGGTTTTCTCGTACGCCTATCCGCGTGTCCCCCTCTCCTTCCCTCCGCCCCCCTCCCGCCCCCGACCGAAAACAAACAGCCGCACACATACCTATACGGAACGGCGACGGGTCGAACTCCCTCGCAGCGGCAGCAGCGCGTAAGGAGCATCTCCTGCGATGCTGCGGGAGGTCGGGTCAAGGTCGGTGGTGGCGGCCAATCTATTGATCCCGCGGTGCGGCGACGCCGCTCCCGAGTAGCCTCGCGCTCACGTGGTGCTCGGGCACGCCGAGCCGGAGGATGCGCCCGGAGATAGCGGCGGTCGGGTACCCGACACGTGCGTCACGCAGAATCCTTTAAGAAGCCGCGTAGAAATGGATTTTTTGGGAATTATGAAAAAAAAATGATTGTCAGTTTGGCCCCTGATTTAATTTTTAACAACAAATTGGAATAATGTGAAAATAACAATAGGCCTTCCCCACTTGTTCGCTTATGACACGCACTGACATTCCTTAACTGGATATTGAGACAGGGTGGGATTTCAATAAGTCAAACCATGCAGTTTTAGTCGTTTCTATATTAGAATTTTTTTTGTTATAACATTGATCTTAGCCAACTATACAAAAATTATGTTTTGTTTAAATGTGACTTAAAAATGTTTTGACATCCAAACGAATTTTGTACCTCTTACCAACTTCCGTGTTGGTATCCCTAAGAAAGTAATCTTTTATACTAATTTAATTTATAAAATAAAGACCTTTTCGTTTTTCGAACGTTCAAATCAATTACATTATTCTTCGATAAACAAATGATAATTTAGGGAGGAAATGGTGCTTGCAAACCATCATATAGCTTGAGAGAGCTGGCATATGAACTAAACATATCTCACGAATCAGCATTGCTGGTTCCAAAAGAGCTGAAAATACGATTGAAATTCGATTCGGATTCTATAGTCATGGAATGGGTGACGAGATAAAAATCAGTCAAGTTGATTGTTTCCTTTGACTATTGTGGTGTTGCTCACACAGAATTCCTTCCGGGTGGGGAAATAGTCAACAAAGAATATTATCTGGGCGTTATGAGGCGTTTGAATCAGCCGCAGAAGACCAAATTTATGTAAGGACCATTCTTGGATTTTGCACCACGATAATGCACCATCACAGAAAGCGATCATTTTGAATGAATTTTTGATCGGAAACTCAACAAATGTCATCTAACAGCTACCGTATTCGCCGTATATAAGCCTTGCTGACATTTTCCTCTTTCCCAAACTAAAATTACCATTGCACAGTGTTCGACTTGGCAAAATACCTATTTTTATTTCCACAATTCCATTTTTGTAATATTTATCGAAGATAAGCCTTCTGCTGACATTATATTAAATATAAATGTTTGATTTCAATTTTTATCAGTCCTTATACCTTCTCGATCATACTCAACGTCTTACGTTTCGCCAGTAATGATTAGATAAATCCACGGGTATTCAATGACGCTATGAGCGTAACAGCGTGAGTGATATTTAACAGTGATGTCCGTGTAATCAATAAGCAATATTCTGTAATGTTCATTTTTCACAAGAAACATGGTGAGTAGAATTATATATCAATTAATTGGAATCGAAAACGCGTTACGATTGGATTATTTTTGGAGAGTGGCTCGCAGCTATTACGAACCGCAATAAAACACATAAATATTTTATCAAAATTTTGTCTAGGCATCGGTGAAATATATGGTTTTATTTTTAGAGCGTTATGTGTTGCTTTACTACGCGTAGTAGACTGATTTACTAGATGGTGAAAATTTTATGGATTTTTCCGAGACCCTCAATATTTACATTTCTCGTTAGAAAAAATACATTCCGTGCCCCAGTTTGATGAATAAAAATATTTTTCATTGCCCGCACCGATTTTTCTTATCTGACTGTGATATCGTTCGCGTATATACAGGTATTATAAATATCTAACAGAATAAATAACGCTTATATTATGCCAGAAATATTTCATGTTAAACAAATAATACATGATGTTTCGCGTAAACGATTCGCGAACACAATTTATTGCTATACAGCCCATATCTAAAACAATCTCCGTAATTGTTTTTAATAGCATAGTATCACTCCGATCTCGATCGTACGAACGTAAGAGGGAAATTTTTCCTTCTCTGTTTTAATGACTTTGTGATTTATTTTATTACTTTGGTCACTGCACTGCACTGGTTGTTTTGCCTTATATGTACTTGGTCTTTCCTATACATTTTTTTTCTGAGACGTTAAGTATATGGGCTTTGCAGATAATTTTCTCGTTAATTGACAAAATCTAGGATGTTTCGTGCTCTATGTATTTCTGAAACCTGAAAAAACAATAAACGTAAACATGATAGTTCGTGTAATACTCTGTCCTTGTCAAAATTATTTTCTCCATATTGTTTTTCCAAACGGTAGAATTACTCTAGTTTCTGTATCTATTGTACTTAAGATTAAATCAAATAAAAAAACAAAGGAAGATTACATTCATGAAAACCGAGAAATTTTTATCGTGGTAAAAATGTATACTTTACGATTGTACTTTATATAGTTTAGTAAACTAAAAACTCAAACATTTATTCAAAAAAAGTTTGTAACATCTTTGAAACCAGTAACCTATGAAAACGAATGCAACTTATACTCATAATTAACATTAATGTACACTACATTTTTGGCAGAACATGGAACACTGTAGATTAAACCATATTACCGGTACTGGACAAATATTTCATCATCCTATGTTTACAATAACTACCCGTCATTTTCCATAGAGAACTATTAGGCTATTGATTATATAAAAAAAAAACAGGGTTAAAAGGAACTGACTTCAAGCAATTTTATTGTATAAATCGTTCAAAGGGTCATTTTAGATGAAAAACAGCGGAGTGCTATTAAATTAGAGGGTGGAAATTGGAGATAGGGGTGAAAATGTACCCCTTTTTGTTTTTTAATTGTAGCTCGAAAACGAAGCAAAATTTCGCTATAGTTCATAGGAAAAATTATTGGCTTATGGCTTATTTATAAAATTTAGAAGGAAAATTTTATGCAAAAATATCGTTAGTAAACAATTTGAAAAAAAAGCAAAAAATTCGATTTTTTTATTTTTTTTACTTTCTTGCCTCTAGTTTTTTTTTTAGTAAAGATAGGTATAGGCATTACTTCATAGAAAAAAAAGTAGATAAAATTTCCTTTAAAACAAGAGGTTGTAAAGTATTTTTGGATGAAAATTGACTGATCTATGGCCGCTCAAACTTAGTCATTTTTTTCGGAGATAAGACATTCAAGGATTTTCATCACATGACTTGTTCGAAGGGTAATTAAAAATGAAAAAACCTAGGGGTGATATTAAATTAGAGGGTTGAAATTGAAGATAGGGGTGAAAAAGCACTTTTGCAGTTTTTTAAATATAGCACGAAAACGAAGCAAAATTTCGGCATAGTTCATAGGAAAAATTTTGTAGCGAATTGAATTTCTCATCGAAATGGCTTATTTAAAAAATGTAAAAGGAAAATTTTATGCAAAAAATCGTTAATAAACAAAATTTTAAAGAAAGCAAAAAATAAGATTTAATTTTTTTACTTTTTTAATAACATAATTTAGTAAAAACTTGAGAATTTAAGTATAATAAAGTTTATTAATAATGTACATACAGTGTGTCCACGGATGGAGTTGACAAGAGGAGAAACTCTTTTGTTTTTGACTTTATCGAAAAATGTCACTCATTATAAAAAAGTTCTGCCCCTAGAAAAAATTAGGCTGTCACACAAACATCTTAGATTAGATGCTCATAAATTAAAAAAGCACGAAAATACTCAAGACAGAAGTACCATTATTTATTATTTTATACAACATTTTTATAAAACAAATCTGTTTATAACCTCAAATAATGTCCTAATACAAATTTTAAAATAAAAATTTCAATTTTTGAGGTGGAAAGTAACTATACATTTAGAGTAAAAGTCAGAAGACAGTAAAACGCTTAGGACACAAAAAATAATCAAGTTAATGGAAAACCATTACTTTGCGCCCGATAACTTTGTAAATAACAACTGTAGACTTTTATATCAGACACCTACCCGAACTGCATTCACTGCCTTTGTCCGTTTTAAGCCCACGTAAAAATCTCCTACATAAAATGAACACACGCATACGTTGATAGGGAATTGTGTAGAGTTGCTCTACCAACACAGAAAATTTTAAAATGTCTCATGTAACAAAAAAATATTTAAAAAATAAAGAAAAGAAGTCATTTGTATATCTAATTTACATCTGTATATTATCGATTATATTTTACACTTTTTATTTTAAAGAGAAAAATGTTCAATAGTGTAAAAGTTTAATTTGAAATTTGCGAAAATTAAAGATATTTCAGTGGTCAAACAAATATTCCCGCTTCCAAGGCTCACCTTTAAAAATTAAACCAAATTCTGTGCTACGATTTTC